GAGGGGTTTTCCCACCCATTTATAATAAACACCATCCTAACAAAATTGAAGAGATTTGGAGGGAGCTCCACCTTCCTACTCCTCTTTCATTCCCCTACCCTAATCCTCTCTCCTTTCCCTTTCTTTCTCTACTATCTTGTTATCCAAACAAAGTGTAAAGGTGAATGTGAGCTTGTGTGCAGGGTGCACTGTGCATGTGAGAGTTCAATATATAAGGTACTTAATCTATGCATGCATGAAACAAGCATATGAAATTCACACACTAATGGGAGAAGAAAATCTAGACCTTCCCTTCAAAAAGTGATGCATCATACAGCCTCTCCGAACAAAGATTATAGACTTTGTATTTGCCCTGCATGAAATCACATACACGGTTACATGGAACATGTTTCAACAAAAAAGAAAAGGTAAAAAGAGCATGAGTGATGTAGATTTAGGCCCCTATATATCACATTAGCCAGCCAATAAGATATAGTTAGGTTCCATCTCAAGTTTTATCTACAATGATCCAGTTATAAAGGACTTCCCTCCAACCCCACACCCACCCACCCACCCCCGCCCCCCTTCCCCTCCCCTCCCCCTTCCAATGAGAAATAATTCGTTTATCACGCAAAGGAGGAAAAGAGCCACATTATGCATAGTTAATCTAAATCAGATCATGGCACACACAGAGCATATTTACAAATTTAATCATTGCGACATTGTCCCTATCCTACGGTCCTACCAGAGGCATACCCAACCAAAATAATAATTTGAAGATATGATACTATTTTACAGTGATGAGATTATATACCCTTATTCTTCGATCACCATTTCAAGGTATTATTCAAATAAAGACACCATTCGAGAGGTTCTTCTTTGAAATAAAAAAAAATTATGGCACTAAACCAAATATTCAGTTCAAATTGCGGCATATACCTGGTGGTGAGTCTCAAAAAACCTAATCACCTCTTCCATATGATTTCTGTAGATCCCCTGCATCAAACCAATATTGTATTAAACATAATCACATTAGCCATGATAATCATGTTAACTGATCTTCATCTACCTCGACATATCCAAAAATTCCTGAACTGATGTCACCAGCAGGGAAACCCATAGCAATAATATTTTCCGTGATATATGTCAAATCCAAATCAAATCCTCCTTCCTAGAAACAAAAGTTGAGGACAAAGAAGAGATTTATAGTAATAATAATAATACAAATTCCAACCACACGACCAATATTCCATGCCATCAGCCCAACACCTTAGCATCACAAATCAGACGAAAGGCTACCTGGTACCTCCGCTTATTTTGCGAGACCATATGGCGTGCTTTGGCCTGCACAGCCTTTACAGCACTGCGAGATGAGTCAACTAACCCTTTTGTAAATGAATCAAAAACACCAGCTCGGGCAGGTGCTGTATCTGCTTGAGCATCTCCGCTTGCCACAGGATTTGATGCAGGTAATCTTAATCCAAGACCACTTGTAAATCGTGCAAAGGTCAATCTTGCGCCACTTCCAGATTGTGATTCTCCCACAGTCTCCCCTGAAGCCTGTGGTATTTTAAAGCTTTTGGCCCAAGAATTTATACCAGAAGCAGATGATGATGCTGATGATGGAGGATTTGCAGCAGGAGCAGAAGTTTGAACATCTAAAATTTTCTCCTGTGGTGGAGACGGGGAATCTGCAGCTTCCATGTTCCCTGCAAGAAAGCATATGGCAAATGATCTCTATTGTCAAAGATCCTAGCTTCCCAACACTGATATGACAGGTTTAACAATATGATAACTAAGTGGAAAATTTGTCACAAAGAACCTTGTATATCCACTATTTTGTGAGAAAGGAACTTTTTAAAAAAAAAAAAAAAAAAGTGGCAAGAAGGGACCATTTATGGGTTTTTATTTGTGAGGAGGGACCTTTGCTCGGAAAGTGAGCATTGACCAAAGAAATCGGTGGTGGCAGCGTTGGCCACCATCAAATGGCAGCCACCACCACGCTCTTCCACGAAACCCCCACCCCTATCACGGCAGCCACACCCTCCCCCACCTCTTTCATGGCAACCACCCCTCCGAACTAATCATCAATTTGATTACAAAAAGGAAATCAATAGGTTACTCACTAAAAAGGACAAACGAGGATGTCTAAAAAAATGAACATACATTTCCGAACTTCCAAGTAGCAGGTAGTAAGGATAACTTATATATCAATACAGAATACATCACAGGAACATACAAGTATACAAGTCTCTAACTGCCAACAGCTTGAAATCCAATGTCAATTACACTCATTTGTGGAAGTAACACTTAGTGATGCCTTTCTCCTCCCCTTCCACAACCTTTTATTCAAAAAGTAGTAAGAAACTAAAGTTGACAATTATTTTCTCCGCATAAGAATACACGATGTCCTTTCTCATGAATGGAAATTGCAAAACTTGCCTTGAACTGTTAACCAATGAGCTAAATGGCCTGCAAACTTAGCAATATCCTTAAAATGTGCCTCTCATAAATGCAAAATTAGTATACTATAAGTGTTTGATGATCAGCTAATTGCCGCAAACATTCTAAACATAAAATTTTAAAACCCTTGGAACTTCAAGCTCAGATTTTCTGTCAGGTCTAATGGCTGTATTTCTATAATAGTAATGTTTATTGTGCACGGTAACACGATACTATCGTTTACACAGCATCACATCAACAATGCCCAAAGCCACATTACTTACATAGCCTCCTTAATCTTGTTAGTAACTTATTACTAAACCCTTAAATCTAACATATACTAATAGAGTTAATAAGATTCTATAGCAAAATTCAAGTAACATAAACCATCACATAGAATTTGACCAGAGAATCTAAAAAATAAATAAATAAATTCTTGAAGTTCACACCAATTACTACTCCAATTCTCCAATGGAATGCCAGAACGGGCAGCTACCTCATGACATTATCAAATCCACAATTCTGACTCTAAAAAAACCTAATTTCAATCAAATGTAACCACATTAAGGCGTTATAAACAGCATTTTCTTCCAACAAAAAAATTATCAATCGACGCAATTTATAAAATAAAAAATCGATCTAATTTCTGTCCATGATCTAATATTTGAGCTAACTATAACTGATCCAAAAAAATCATCCACAATCCCTCCCTTTTCCAGTGAAGAATCATCCATCCAATCACCAATTGCTAATCCACTTGCAGAGGAGAGAGAAAATGGCATAATGTAGGTAGAAGCAAATTCTGATAGCAAATTCTAAGATCACTCACCAGAGATTTGACAGCGTTGATCAGTTGAAATGGTGAATCTGTTGAGATGATCGCAAAATTAGGGTTCAGAATGTGCAATGGTGGTTGGAGCGGCGACGATGAACGGAAAAGGGCGTGATTTCTCCGTCGAGAGAGAATGTGAGAGGAGAAGGAGAGGATTTTGAAATGATTGCGCGGACTTGTGTCGTTGTTGAGAGGATTTACCCATTTTGGTTTATTGTCTAATTACTTGCTGACTATGGAATTGAAAATTTTAAGGTACAGCAGCCTGTACTTTGCTTGCTACAGACAAAAAGCGCGGAAAGAACATGAAACTGTTTTATAAAGAACATACTGCTGCTTTTAAAAGAACATATAACAGTTTTGTAAAGAACATCCAATTTTATGTTTTTTAATATACGTAAAGAACATCTGTAATATTAATAAAGAACATGAAGATATTATGTAATAAACATTATTTATATATATCTACCATAATTTCATGACAAAATTTAATGAACCTCACAATAAACAATGAACATTATATCACAAATAAAAATTCATTACACTGACAATTAAAGAACATGGACATATGTTCTTTTCACTCTTTTTTTGTGCAAATATGTTCCTTTTACTTTAGGTATATAATCTTTATATTATAATAATATGTTTTTTCCCTACAGTTATATGTTCTTTACATTTTGTATAATATGTTCTTTTTGCGAAACGGTGGTACGATGCAAGGTACCCACGCCTGTAGGAACCACACATTACTACGGAATAGGCAACACGCATGGAAATTGGAAAATAGGTTGTGCGGTTCTGCCCTAAGACTCCTAAGTCCTAACCATTTGTCCATATTCTTGTGCAGGAGTGACTATGCAGTATGCAGCGCTAGGTCCGCTAGCATAACATCTTATATTGGACGGCTTGTGCCACGAAATATGAAAGGTTACTTAAATATTAAACTATCATGTGTTGGTTGTGTAGGGATTTTAAGAAGGATTTAATGTTTTTAATGTGTCACATACAATAATAAGGGTATGTTCACATTTACTTAATTTCAATTCAGCTCCTAATTTATCTCTCTCATAAAATGTTCATTTCATTTCAACTCCAATCAGTTCAATTCAACTCCAATCAGTTCAATTCAATTCAGTTCAGCTTAGTTCAATAAATGTGAACAAGCCCTAAATGGTATTGTGCGGACATGCACCCTTAACTAAAATTGAATTAAGACACGAGTGTAGAACTATTATCCAACTTGCACAATATTGTGTTAAGTACGTATATTATCCCATGTTGATCAAGAAAAAATAAATTGTTTTAAGTCGGCTTCCTTTAATGTCAACCCTATTCAACATTAACTTCAATCATTCTTTTAAACTTAAAACAATTTACTTTACAAGTAACAAGACTAAAAATTACTCCTTATTCAACATCCAAGAAATGCAATCAAATAAATTGAAAAAATTATTTAATTCTATAAATAGAGAATTTCATAGACGTGAAATTATCATTATAATTCGATGAAACAATTTTTTCTTAGCGTTGCTCGTGAATTTATAAGAATTTATATATTTCATTTAATTAGCTAAAGAAAAATTTTAAATGAGATACAATATTATACTCCAATAAAGGCATAACTTTGTCATCAATATTAACTTACTAGATCAAACTTAGGTCAAAATCCTAATCTAAAACCAAAATGGACACATAAGTACCAAACCAAAGACAAAAAAAAAAAAGGAAAGAATGCAATACCTTCCAAAAGCTCATTAACATAATAAGTAAGAAAGGAAAAAATAAACTAAAATAAGCAGGAGAAAATAAAAATCAATTAATAAAATAAAAATATCGGCATCCCATTTCTTCTTCCTCACCTCTGCAAATCATATTCTCCTCGCAATCTCCCGTCAACCCCATTTTAGATTCGTGAGAGTAAACCCGCTTCGGATCCCAAATGATGGAGGCTGGAGGGGGCGTTACCGGCGGCGGTGAAACCCTAACGTCATCGGAAACACCCGCAACCGTCGCTGCACGGTGGAGCTTCATGGTTTCGCAGCGGTTCCAGCATTATCTGGACAAATCGACGCCTCACATGCTTTACCGCTGGATCGCATTCTTCGTCATCGCTTTGGGTTACGCTATTCGAGTTTACTTCGTTCAAGGGTTCTACATCGTCTCGTATGGGTTGGGAATTTACATTCTTAACCTTCTTATTGCCTTTCTCTCTCCTCAGGTGGACCCTGAGATCCAGGAACTCACTGATGGACCCACTTTACCTACTCGGGGCTCCGATGAGTTTCGCCCCTTTGTTCGACGTCTTCCTGAGTTCAAATTCTGGTCTGTTCTTTTATCTTTCTCATTATTGATTCTTTTAAATAAAGAGTTTTTTCAATGCGTAGAATGTGATTGCACTTTAATTAGAAGCAAAAGTTTGGTAATCTCGCATATAGGGTTGATATAAAATGATTGTTGATTATAGAATGCTGTGTTTGAATTTATGATAGTACTGAACAATATGTGATATTGCTTGATTTAATGATTGATCAAGTGTCTTTCTTGTTTGAGGTTGAAATTGAGATCTTGTGTACTCTGTACGATAAGGTTGTTTTTCAGGGTTAGTTTGATATGGGTTTTGATTTTAATGCGGAAGTGTGGATGTACAATTCTAGTTTGAAATTGAATATCGGGTAGTGTAGAGAATCTTGTCTAGTTTGATTAGTGTTGATGTACGTGTTGGGATGGTTTCTAATTGAAGAATTAGATTGAGTATTCAGGGATTGATTGTTTGTGATCAATTTTTGGAGTAGGATATGTGTACCTAGTGGAGTGAGTATGTACCGATCATAGTTTATTAGTTTGGGATTTTAGATGCTTGAGTGGTAGAACAAAGTGTTATTGAAGTGTGTATCACCTCGCTAGTTGATGAATACATGTAGCTGGAGTTTGACTTCATGGATAAACTGTTTGGGATCTAATGTGTGGCTGAGAACCTGTTTGTGATAGCAACGGATCATATCTGTTCAAGGTTATGGCTAACTGTAGTAGCCTTATTTAATATTTATTCCTCGATGTTTGTTTTATTTGTCTGAAGTATTACAAGTAAAATCTTCTTAGAATAATGATGAGGGGTGTGGTAAGGAGATAGGAGGTTTTTTTGGAGGGAAGGCGTGTATATCAAGATTGTTGACATAGTGTTTTCAATTACTTAAAGGATTAGAAGTACGGTGTTTTGTTAGTTTCTTTTTTATGTCATAGGCTCATTAATCTAGGATTATGGCTACCTGATTATTGGAGTGCAGGTTGGCGGCAAAGCTGAACTGTGTGCAATACTGTATGGTAGAACTTCGTTTGAATTGTAAGACTTTTAGGCAACAAGCACTGTATCTTGCCTTTGTGGTAGACAAAAGGTTAGATTTGTGGTCCATGGATTCTGAGGTACCTTGGGCCTTGGCTGCTCTCTGACTCGTCCCATAAGCTTCAGTCCAACAAATTATGTTCTTCTGATCAATTCAGATTTTTTTAAAAATTATACTTTCCAATTTTAATTAAGAAAGAAATGATAAGAAACAAATTTTGGATCAAGGGCTTTTAGTTTAATTAGGTATGATTACCGTTAAATTTGGTCAGATCTGAATCATTCACTTACCATACCTCTTAAGGCTCCTGCCAAGGTTGTGTGGGAGGAATTGCAACTTTCCTAGTTTTCCATATGTGAGGGTCATGTATGAAAATACTCTTATTCATGAGACGTATCTACTGTGGAGTTCATGATAGAGGCCTGATAAGAATTTAAATATTGTTACTCAAAGAATTTTAGTACTTTTTTTTTCCTAAATGACTGAATCTTCCCTTCTCATTTGTGAAGGTACTCGCTAACAAAAGCCTTCTGCATAGCTTTTTCCATGACATTTTCAAGTGTGTTTGACGTTCCTGTATTTTGGCCAATACTCCTCTTCTACTGGGTTGTTTTGTTCACGCTTACCATGAGAAGACAAATACACCATATGATCAAATACAGATATGTCCCGTTCTCCTTTGGGAAAAAGGTATGTTAATCTGTCTCTTTATAGCTACTCTGATATTTTGTCTTTTCATTCCTTATGTATTCTCTATGTTTTATTTTACTTTGTATATATGAAGTATATATTATGGAATGTCATCTTAACACTCTCTCTGTAAGTCTCAGCGTTATGATCGAAGGAAGTCTGCTGCAGAAGATAGCGCTGCACTTGTCAGGGATTGATGTTTTAGGTAGGTGAAATAATCTCCCCCCCCCCCCCCCTCCTTTATTTTTTATGTTTGATGTTTAATTGTAATAAAGTGGTTGTTAATATTCGCAAGGCATGAGTTGGAACATGAGTTTTTTCTGGAGTTTTGCATTGTATGTGTTGGTTAGAATCTCAAATGAAAGGGATGATATTATGTAATGGGTCTAATTTTCCTGTTCCTTGTGCCTCCCACTTGGAATTTTGTTCTCTTATCTCAGAAAGAATATTTTCTTGCTGCTGAATGAACCTCGGGACAATTTTAGGAGTGGTAGCTACAGTTTTCTGGTGTCGATTCCAGCAATTGAGAGGATTCATTGTCATCCATATCACTCAAGCAGGCTCCCTTTGTGCAACAATTACTGATCTGACTGAATCTAGGAGGCTGCTGATGTTATTCCTTTCCTCTTGACATTACAATTCTGTATAGAGGGAAACATCACGAGTTTCTTGTAGGCTGTATCAACAGGAATCGTGATTTTATTTCTATTCAAAAGCCTTGTAACGTTTAACGTTAGTTTGATTTATTGGAGATGAAATGACATTATCTTTCATTTTCCTCCACATCACCAATTCCTGATGAGGTTTTTTTTTTCAAATCTTTATGGATTTCATAGCTTCTTTTTGGAGCAAATAACCATTATCTCAGTTTGGAAACAGTGAAAAAGTACAACTACAAATTACAAAAATATGCTGCAGATATGTGCTTCACGTTTTACTTTTTTTTTTCCATATCTTATCCTCAATGAGATGTTGAGCTTGCACTCTGTACTCTGCTGCTTTGGACTCATGCAGCGGAGAGTGGACACGTGACTGCATTTTCTTAGGTTCAACCTATAGCCTCATTCGTTCATTATGCAAAACGGTAACTGGCAATGGGTAGGTTGCTGAGAGTTTAGGAGGTGAGGTGTCTCATAAAATGCATCCAAGAAAGTTAAATATTAGCCAAGTACGAAGTATTTACTGCAGTAGCTGGAACATTTTCGACTTAAAATACTGGCTTGCAAATCATCAAGTAGCTATTTTAAAACACGGTAGTGAAATCCGGATTGTCTTAACCTTTCCTTGAAAATATTGATTGACTACTCGGAGTTTCTGAGTGGTGATAAATCTGTGACATATTTATGGTTGGATAACTTAACCTTTCCTTGAAAATATTGATTGTATGATGCATTTGTAAAAATTGTCATCATATATACTAAGTACATATCTAATCCTTGGAGTATTGAAAAAAAAAAAACTTTATTATCGACTTTATCGTTTTCAGTTAATTGAAAAAAATTAACAATTACTTCGTATACAAACAATCCATGAAAAATCCTACCAAAATCACCCGTAGTTGTACAACTCCAGGAAAAGTTTAGTCACTGCTACCAGAAATTCAGAAAATAGGGAGAAAGGAGCCTTCTTTGTGTTCAATTGGGGGCTCGTAATAAGCAAAGACAGAGTAGAAGGTCTGCGCTCCAGTCAGCAGCAGTAAGAAAACAGCAGCCAGGAAAGAGATAACAGCCCAGGGATTGTAGAAATATTTGTGCTTCAAACTCGCACGCCAGGCATTCCACCTATGATCATAATACCTATTTACCTCTTCAGACACCTTAGCGAGATAACTATCATTTATGTCAAACACCACCTCTCGGCAAAGGTGGTTAAACATGTCTGCAACCTCAGCATCATTCCCTAGCCAATGCTCAAGTATCCCACAGTAATGAAGGTAATTCACATCTTGTGCTGAGTCAATTAAGTTATCCATGAACACAACATAAGCTGTTATGTCATTCGTGCAGTCTAGGTGGCTTTGCTCGAAGGCCACAAGGTTGAGGAACAATGACTTTGTCCCATCATGAACTAGCAGCCGAGGAATATGAAAGACTCCGTTTTTGAACTTGATGTCCCAAAAACGATCAGTCTTTCGTTTCTTGAACTTGATACCAGACTCCTTAAGGTCTGTGACGCAATGGATGAGCTGAGTCCTCCGGTGATCAGCCACTAGGTTTCTTCGGGACCATTTCCTGAACCAATGCCTAGGAACTGCCTCGGGACCTTTCCTGAGCAGACTCCTCCGAAACACATCAAGGCAATGCAGGCCAGCCTGGTCTGACAAAGGATGAAAAGCCATTGTGTTCGAGTGTAGAGATGATTTCAACTTGGTCATCTGCCTGGCAGTTAATGGCTCATCAATAGGTGACAATGGATCAAAGAAGATGATCGCTAAATCTGCAACAACACTCTTCTGATTCTGATCACCCAGTTGGAGTAAAATGAGCTTATCCAGGACAAACAGAGGAATTTGATTTTCAATCATCATCATATCTCGTCTAATGGAATACATCATCCCCCTCATTGCAAAAATAGGATCATTTCTCTCATAACCGAGGCTCTCAAACCCCTCGGTATACCCCCTAAAGAACTCGAGAATGAAGCAACCATCAAGCACCAACATTTCGACAAATTCATTGCTTGTTAGACTCAACGGTCCTTCATAACAAGCTCGAGCCCTGTCTTCTAAATCCTGCATTGCCTCAAGGTAGAGCTTGATGCTTTGCCTCTTTCGCTTTAACATATAGTGTAAGGCCCTACATTTGTGGCGTTCCATCGATTGGAGACGATGACTCCCTCGATGGTAAGGCCCTATGGAAACTACTTGAGGAACATAGGCTTTTTCTTTTTCTTCCCCTAAGCCTTGATCCCTCAGGAAATGTGGGATTCTGTATATGGATATTTTAGTCCATGAACCAGCAACATCATCATTGCTAGCTCGCTCGAGTTTCTCCTTGATCGAGATTATCCATTCAGACTCTTGTGGATTTGCTGGTGATTGCAAGATTTGTATCTCCTCTGGCCTTCTGCACTCCCCATTGACCATCACTTGAAGCGGCTCGCACGGGAGTTGCAACCTTGCCTGCTGCTGCTGCTCAGGTTGGTCTGATGTTTCAGCATTCTGGAGTTTTTCTCTGAGCTTTAGAGTTATCAAATACCAACTCAATAGCTCTTTGTTGTAAACGGCTACCATTTTCTTTATTTTTCTCCAAAGAAACAAAGCACTACAAACTTTAAAAGGAGCCCTTTATTCTTTCAACATAAAGGAGTTTTTAGCTCTTAAATTATTTTTGAAGTTACTTTTGCTGACCACTTTTTTTTCCAGATTCTTTCTATACAAAGAACTTAAATGTTTTTTTTTGAAGGAGAGATTTAAAGGGCTTTAATAGGAATATTAGAATAAAGATGTGATCTAAAAGCTAATGTATCATTTGATGATAAGATCAACAGATTTAAATGGAACCTGAAGATGAGATACATGGAAATAAAGCAATTAGGCTCCTTTGATATTGCCTAAGACAAAAAGTCTTTATGATGTGTGTGTTTATAGATTAGCTTCCATTTTATTTGGACTTTTTGGAGACATAATACTCTACTACAAGGGATTGGGCATTTATGTCAAATCTCGGGATGATAATTTTGGTATAAAAACGGGCAATTTAAGTGCTTAAAGATAAATATACTCCGTAATTTTTTAAATAATTAGGGGGAATTGAAAAACATTGGAAGACCCTCCACACATAGAGATGTTGCCGTGGACACTTTGGATGAGGTCCTTGGCTTAAACATCATTTGTTTTGGAGATTTGACTTTATTTTATTTTCCATATTAAGTAATCTGCTCAATGGGTTGGTAGTTCATAATTAATTAGGATAAGAAACTAGGAGTTGATCAGTTGTGTTTCTAATAACAATTTAAAATTTGTTCTTCCTTTCTTTCTCAACTGCGGTAGGGCTGGTTTACAAGCTGGAAATAATTTGTCCCAATCAAAGGAAGGTGCAATTGATTAAGACAGCCATATGGTTCTATATAATTAATCAGCATTATTTGTCACGTTTATGATTCAATAATGCTACACTAACATGAAGTTTAATTTCATCCAATATGTTATGATATCTGTAGACAAAGAAAAGAAAGTAACTCTCGAAAATTACAATAATTAGAATTTTAGATGTAATTGGGTGATGACATCAACAAACTTCAGTATAATTGATTGGAGATAAAAATCTTAAAATTTGTGCAAGTAAAAGAAGGCTAAATTTTCAGATTTTACTATACACAACGTAATGGTATAGGTCTGATATTTGGGCAAATGAAAGAAAGTATTATAGAAGACTTTTTTTTTTTACATAATATTATGTAAATTTGAGTGATTTGGTCAATGTACTTAGAAAATATCTTGTAAACAAGAACATAACTCAAATTTATTCAGAAAAATTGTAATTGAAAACATACATTTACGGCTCTACTATAACATGATTAAAAACATACAAGCTTTTATGCTATGTGCCTATGTCCATACTAGTAACTTTTAGACAATTTTATCATCATCGCAAAGTAAGTTGATAATAATTATCACAAACAAAAAAAACATGTTTAATCAATAGCTCCATGTTTACCTTTTGGACCTTAACAAAAGATATGTCATGAACGTGGTTAATCAGTTTATGGGACCATACCTTTTTTTTTTTTTTTTTTGAGAGGTTGAGCCCATATCTATTTCAAAGTGTGCGTATTTTATAAATTTAATATCATATAATGCATATGTAAAGCAGCAACTTGGGGATGTAGCTCAGATGGTAGAGCGCTCGCTTAGCATGCGAGAGGTACGGGGATCGATACCCCGCATCTCCAATTTTGTAATTTTGATTATAGCATGGCTTAGTGACTTTTTTATTTTTTTGGTATCCCTCCATTTCACCTTTTGGGCTAATTTGGATTCGGGAATCAATTTTAAATGGTTAGGTTCCAGTCTCATCCCCATTGATGTTGTCGGGGGATCCTCCCTATTAAGTATAATCAAAATTTTGTAATTTTGATTATAGCATGGCTTAGTGACTTTTTTATTTTTTTTGGTGCCTCCGTTTCACCTTTTGGGCTAATTCGGATTCGGGAATCAATTTTAAATGGTTAGGTTCCAGTCTCATCCCCATTGATGTTGTCGGGGGATCCTCCCTATTAAGTATAATCCCAATCACCAATTCACCACCACACCAACATCCAATTGGTATGGTCTGATACTCTGATAGAGCGCCTTATGGTCTGTTCTCAATGACTGAACTTAGCTGAACTGAATTGAAATGAACTGAATTGAAATGAACTGAACTCATATAATGTCAATATTGACGGTTGAAAGTGAACAAAAAATATTAGACAAAACCTTACTAAAATGAATCCATCTCCCTCCTTCCGTTCCAGCTCAAGATGAGCATTAAGCCGAGGTACAAACATTAAGGACATAAAAGAGTGAGAATTGCAGCGAGAAAACATTACTCATGTAAAATTAGAATCTTAACTCGTAATGTTAACCTTGAGATGGGACAGAAGAGGTCTTTCCTGCATACTCCTTTAAAATTAGAATGTTAACTCAAGGTTACGACATCATCTTTTGGTATTGTTAAACTTGAGCTGAGACAGAAGAGGTCTTTCCTGCCAAAGAAACTTCTCCTGCACTGAAGAGAACTTCTACTTCTGTTTGTTTTACAACTTGATCTTTCATCTTTAGATTCATATATAGAAGTAGACAGAAGAATTTCAAGACATAAAAGCATGTTCATTATTCATATATGAAATAGAAAAGAAGTGACCTTTCATTAATTAAAAGAAACTGAAAGCTAAACTTCTAAAAAACTTGCAACATCCTCTGTATTTTATCCCCAGGAGATGCAATCTAACTTTTAGCTTATATACACAAATAGAGGCAGCCATGTAGGCTCCTATTAATTCTCTAAAACAGGAAATAATGCGTGATTTCGAATTAAAGTGACTTCATAGAAGAGCTAAAAAAAATATTAATCCCCTTCATAGTTTGAGCCACTTCCTTAATGATTCCTAGCTTCTTTCTTCAGAAGCTGCTTACTTTACCATCATCACTTTCGACAACGGAGAAAGGCTTAATGGGTTCTTTGGTTAGCTTTACAGGGTAAGATGGCTGCATTGCTATCCCACATTTGCCTGTGAAAGTATGGGTGTTGCGGCGCATCCTAAAGTATCCTTCCTCACCCCATCCACTGCCCCATGAATTCCTAACTATCCAGTAGTCTTTCCCATTCTCTGTTCCATATCCAACAACCACTACAGCGTGGTCGAGTTTTGTCCCACAGTGACCATTAAATATACCCTGCAACACAAGAATAGCAAACAAAAAGTGATGAGTTAATTGAATTTACTGATTCACCGGTGTTTATCCTAGTATTCGGTTATTAATTGAGTAATTTTTCCAAACTAAAATTGATTTTCAATCATAAAAACAGTATGAATTTATAACAGTTTTTACTATGACATATAAAAAGTATAATAAATGAGCTGACAAATTCGACCAAAAACATTGGAAAATGCTTACAGATTGGTAGAGCTGGAGAGCTCTGCCACCAGCCTCAATAGCAACGCTAACAGGCTGGTGAGCAACAGCTTTCTTCAAAGCTTTCTCGCTGTAAGGCTGGACATCTTCATATCCGTCAATGCTCACAACTTTGTTGTTCTTCCTGTTAAGATCACACTGGCCATCAACACCTTTGTAAGGATAACTTTCCTCAGTGTCTAGACCGCCATTTTCAAGGATAAATTGAAAGGCGTTGTCCATGAGACCGCCATTGCAGCCCTGATCAACAACTCGATCACAATCGACAAGCTCTTGCTCAGACAAGGAGGTCAGATTTCCTGTCACAATTTGGTTGATAGCTTCTACAGTTGCTACCGTTGAGAATGCCCAGCAACTACCTGATAAAGCAGAACAATACAAGCAAAAGGTGTTAAGTTTGATACTGATGGACATATTTATAGGGCCGGCCCAAAATTCTAAAACGGTGGGCCATGGCCCAGAAGTATAAACTGGTGGGTCATGGCCCAACAAGGAGTAGTACAATACAATTAAAAAGAATATTTGGTAAATCTACCATTCAAACAAAATTAGTTGTAGTAGTTCTCAATGAGATTATTTACGAAGTAATTCCAACAAACAAACTACCATTCAAAGTGTCCTAATTTCAATGATTCCTCCCTTCAAGAAAGGAATCACTTATCCACAATTAACAACTACATCAAAAAATGCTCCAATATAATACAATTTGATTGCTTATCCTTATTTTTAGGGAATCTAATTAATCACTTAACTTATTTTTAAGAAAATCTAATTGTATAACCTTAATTGAAAGAAAACAAAAAATAAAATAAGTCATCAAAAACCTCTATAAGAAGGAAACCGAAATTTTTAAAAAAGTAAAAAATACAAATAAAGAATCTTTAATTAAAAAAATAGAAATAATGTAAAGAATTCATACCACATTGGCCTTGATCTTTGACATGGTTAACAGCACCAGTTTTCCTCCAATCAACGGCCTTAGGCAACTGGTCACCGGGAAGAGGCCAGTAACGAAGACTAACCTTCCGGTTAATACTAATGGGCTTGGGCCTGGTACCCAAGAACCTGGACCGGTACTCTTCATTAGTCAGATCAGCAAACTTGTTAAGCCCAAGTTTATAAGTCCGGTCCACAGAGTTATGCTCATCAATGAATTTCAAGTTATCTTTGAAAATCTCAAACCGCTTTTGATCATCTGGGGTTGGCAGGCCGTTTCGGGCCTTACCGTGATGGGCCTGCCAGTTTTTGTACAGGCCCATGATTTCTTCGTCAGTCCGCTCCGACGCGGCTGACGCTAGTGGTGAGAGGAGGAGAGAAAAAAGGACGGTGGTTAACACGGCGGATGTTTGCCGGAGTTTCATGGTTGTCGGATGATTGTTGGGAAAGGAAAAGGAATAAGGATGTTTGGAGAATAGGGTTTGTTGTGTTATGAAGAGAAGGTGTTGGAAGAGAGGTTTTTATAGGCGTGAATGTATGAGTCCTGGTATGAATAGGTGTTGCTACAACAATTTTTTATTATTTTTAGAGAGTATGAAGAAGATATAACTGGATAATTAATGATTTAATGTATTGATGATGTGTGTAGATTTGCAAAAATTGACTCCATTTAATCTAATGTGAATTAGATTGGATTATTATATTATGAATTTTGTTTAAAAAAAAGAGTTGTATATTATGAAAGGCACTTAGATACAAAAAGTGTATGATTTTATTCTTGAGAGAAAAAGGAAAGTATATGAACTTACTAGAATTCAAGGTTTTTTTTTTTTTTTTTTTTACTCAAATTAATCATAATTTCTTTATAAAAAATGTTTGATAGTCCGTAATATGGAGGAAAAATTGGGAAAATAATGAAATATAGTCAGAAATAATGGAAATTGTTGAGAAAAGACTCTAAGTTTAATAGAGGTTTTCCGTCAATAAAGATTTTTCTTGTTAATCTACTTTACCTTTAAACCATCAATTTAGTTGACTACGTACGATACGTGTCTCCTTTCATTACTCAATGTCATTACGAATCTTTATGTGATGACCAATTAAATAGTCACATTTGGTGGTTCCAAACAACGTTATATGATCTCAAAATGTATCGTCTATCATCACTCGAGTTTTCAACACTAGGTCCCAAAATTTTTGAAAATGGACCTTGTTTTGTAAAGCATAGCCTTCAATTTGGCCTCCGCATAACTTTTATTTGACTTGGAAAGGTCATGGTTTAAGAGTAGCTTCTGTTACGTTGTTCCTTAAAATCCTTAAATTCCCTGTAATATATCCTCAAAATATAATACGAAGTGTCAACTTATTCGACTAAGTTTTAGATATGGGCATATCATATGGCAGTATGTAATTCTTCCATTTTCAAAGGAAACATCTACAAGCAAGTAATATTTTCAAATGAGACTGCCTAAAAAGAAAAGGGGGAGAAGATAAAATATGCATATCCCTAGGGACTTGTATAAAGGCTGGTAACGTGGGAAGGGGGAGAGCGGTACTCCGCAAGTCCGCAATAGTGATGCAATTTTGAAAGTGAATTTGGATGCCTTTTTGGAATATGATTCACACATTAACTAACCGCTTTTGTTCTACGGTTAGAAATTTTTTGGAAGATTATCATATTTTTCCTTGAAAATTTCTAAGATACTATAATTCAAGTATTTTGAAATTTGAAACAAGTTAAGGAGTAGTTTTGTTTGACAAAAAGTTGATGATTGACAAGCAGGACGCATTTAGTTACCAAACAATAGTGAGTATACGCACAATAATTATTTGTCAAAGAAGATAATTTTACCATGTTAAAATTTACCTTGTGATTTTAAGGTTATGAGTTGGTAGTTTACTAGTGTATTATATGACGTGCATACATATAGCATGGTTGCCTTGAGATTTCAGAGTTACAGACCTTGCAGTGTTAGTTGGAAGTTATTAGAGCACGCCCATTGTTTGTGGAATAAACAAGCGTTGAACCAAAGAGTAGGGTTACATACGTTGGGGTTAGAGTAGTCTTTTGGCAGCCAAATAAATTACAACAAAAAGATTTTTACACTGCAATGAAGCTCTGCAACCGAACCTGTTTGGGGGGAATCCTATCCACAATGCTTACTACACCACCTTCCCCACTTGTAACCAAATCACTACATACCTTTCATATTGCAGATTCAGTCAATCCAATTTACTTAAATCTTAATTATGTATCATTAGATGACTTTGGTTGAAGCTTTCCAAGGATCCAAAGTCTTTAATTTGAATCGTGCAAGGATGTCTTAATTTTATGACTAGACTAGATAACATACATTATAGACAAGCTCGTATTTTCAATCTTTTTAATTTGATTTTATTGGGAAAAGATCATCTATTTACGAGTTATGTTTATGTATTTAGCAAAATGTAGTTATTAGATCGTCATACTCATCTAAAAATACATTGTTATGACTACATGTAGGCTACTAATAAGAAAAAAAAAAAAATCACCGCTAACCAATTTATTGCTTTTATCGCATTTTATGAGCATCACTTCTTTTGTATACTTTGTAGACTGCGTCACAACGCTACAATAATAACTATCATTGCTATTAAAAAGTATTATTTTCAAACAAAAAATGCATAATTAATCAATTGATTGAATAAATAATAATACACCTTATTTTCTAATACATTCTGACTAATTTTCCCCTTCCTTTTGGTGTTACTCTTATCTATTTGTTGGAATCTTTCATGAAATTTTCTGTTCACCCGTCTTTATTAATGGGCGGCAGATTTATTTTTATTTTTTTTCCATTAATTAAATAAATAAAAGATTTTACTTAACGTATGGGTATCAATTATCTTCTTCTATATACTGTGAAAGAGATCGAAGAGCAAAGATGAGGTCCAAGAAGTATGTAATAGTGTCAGAAATGAGCTTCCAAAGCAAATAAAACACAGAACTACCATGCCGTCACAACTCAAGCTCTTCATATAAACTGACATCCCCATGTTCATGGAATCATGGAATCCTTTCTATAATTGGATTAAATAGATTCTGAATCTATAAACAAGCTCGTCGATCTCCTTCTTTATCCATTTCCATAAGATCTTGTTTTAGCTACTCCGTAATTTGGTTCATATGAATATCTATTTTACACCCAGTTCTATCATGCACATGTAACATATACGTGTTAGGGTCACAATTAACTATTAAGCATCTACGAGTAAAATTCTAAATAATGTAATATGGGCTAAAAAGTAATAAATGGGGTATTTAACAACTACTCTGTTTTGCATATTTGCATCCACTCCTTTTGTTTGAATTATTTTTATTTCTCAAACAAATAAATCAATTGTAACATTTTTACCTTAACAGCAAATTAAACAATACTGAGTACTCTGTATCATAAGGTAAAAGATCATGTGATATAAGACGGTGCATCTTATATTTTGGTCTGCAAAGGCACACCCAACCAAGTAGCAAATTAAACAGAAAGTGTGGCAACCGTTATTATTTGGTTACTGGTTAGTTATTATTAAAATCTTTAAAATAATGTGCAGTCTGTTAAATTCCATGCCAATCGTGTAGTTTGGGCGGCTGCTGCTAACGTTGTCTGTGGTTCCCAGCAAACAACTGCAGTTAAGTTGTTCATTCCCAAAAACTGACTTCAATAAACCACTTTCTTTTTATTAACTAAATTATCTTCATAACAATTGTTGCCACAATTTTTTCTAAGATCTGTAACAAATAATTTATTTATTTATTTTTTTTTATTTTTTTTTGAGCTTTATACAAAGTAGTTGAATTGCCCACTATAGAGATCCCATCTGCTGCAACTGGATTTGAATTTCTAGAGCAATTAGCTAAATAAATGCGCTGCAACCTCTGCAAAATGCCTTTACCCATAGATTTACAACCTAGTGAAGGAAATCAACCTCTTTGGAGATTCTAACGGTTAGCCCTGCTGATATACCTGTAACCAGTTCATTTGTCACACTAGTAGCTCATATTACATTACCTTATTTTATTATTTTATGTTTATATATTAGTAGCGCATATTACATTACCATATCTTATCTATTTATGTACATATCTCACATTAGTAGCTCAAATTATATTACCATATCTTATCGGGAGGAAAATTTCATTGTAAATAAACTAAGCCTATAGTACTCGCCATGTTACTCATTGATACCCTATACCTTAATATTTGTCATTGTCAATTTTCTAAGCAAATGTAACAAAAAAAAAATTAACGGGAGTTTTAAATGTTACTCCTTATGTATTTAGCTTTCTCTGGAAATTAATAATTTAGACACTTGGAAAGTTGGGAGTTTTGCCAAATAATCTTACTATAGGAGATTTGAACCCCTAAACGTGTAATGTATAATCTGAGAAGCATACTAAGAAAGTCAAGCTTTACATGATAATTTAGTAAATTAGGTACATAGTATAATTAATAAAAGGTTATATAAATCTTCACCTCAAAAAAATTACCCATACTCAGTACTATAAATTAATAAAACAGTTTTAAAAATAACTCTGTAATAATGCTCCTAATAAAATGGGACACTTTTATTCCAAAACATTATACTAATGGAGAACAAGAGGTAACTCTTCTCAGTTAAGAGTCTTAAGACTTCATTTCTCAATTAACTTTTATGCCAATAAATAATTAAATATTATATATTCACGATTGGTATTTGGACTCAGTGACCAAATACGAAGTACTTATTTATTCAAGTTTTTGGTAATCTACTTTATTTATCGTATTTTGTTGTTGGTGCAATTGGTATTTGGTAGTCTCCCGTTTAATACTTGTATTGTACTCCGTACTATCTATATAACAAGGCAATCATTCTAATAAAAAAAAAAAAAAAAAAAAAAAAAAAGGAGCACAATCAATCCATTTCTAATTTTCATTCATAGCAGCATAATCAATCATTCATTGAAATTTGCAAGCCCAACGAAGGACAGCACACAATCTGTAGATCGGTATATCAAGGGGCGGTATGTATAGATTTGAAGGATGTATGAATACAAATGGTATCCTAGGGCAAGAAGGTAGATTAACTGGTTGACAGGCCTTGCTTAAGAACCCGAAGAATAATCAACCAAAATTTAAAATAAAAAATGCAGAAAGGTGGAGGGAAAAAAAAGAAAGAAAAGAAAAAAGAATTAACCAAATGAGGATGAAAACTAAATGCACACTATCAACCAACCCAATTTTACAAAACCTCATCTTGAACTTCTGCTTATATACTAGGTTGTATATGTTTTGACTGCTTTCCGCTGGATCTCTCTCATGTACGAGGCCTCGAATATGGGACTAAACAATAAGGGTGCAATCAGTAAGAAGATATCCCTGAAAAAGAAGATTCTTACTTATCTCCTGTATTTCTAGAAGAAAATCGCGTCTCAGCAACTCTAGCTTCACGCTTTTTCTTACTGCGTGAACTTCTTTTCCTGGTTCGAGTTTTTGGAGGCCGTTTCACGACACGCTCTTCGACAAAGTGCTGCTGTTCAGTAGCTATCACCTTCTCATTGGACGGGAGTTCAGGAGGAATTTCTGGCCATGGTGTATGTTTGGCAGGGACGGTTATCTCTAAAGGAGTATCGATTACCCATCTGCATGTACGAAAGAAACAAACATTATTTAC